CATTTCAACGAACATGTACAAGAGAGAACAAGTCTCTTATCTTGACTCATCAGATAACCGAAAAAAGAAAGTTTGTGAAGACAACCAACAGAAATGTTTTTCAATTTACATCATAAATACGTTGTTTCAAGCTTGCATCTTCAGTTTTGTTTGAACTTGGCCCATAATTCAGTGACCCGGAACTACTATCTCAGTTGACCTCCCTTATAATATCAATACAACTAAGCGTGTCAACAACCAAGCGAACAACGGGAGCAATGCGGGGTCAAACATGAGGTTGTTACTTATCACTAACCATGGGGAGTTTCTTTAGAATGAAAAATATATTCTTCCACTTGATTGCTTTTATTTCCAAACGCAGGAATGTCATGCAAGTGAAAATGGGGTGTAAAATATTCGTGTTTGAAAAGATACGAAGTCACTGGTATTGTATATATAAACATAAATATAGGTATGCACGTAGTTAACAAAGACATATATGTTACATACAGAATCGTAATTTCGACAGATATGTTAAATTGAGACGTTTTTGTCGAGTCAGAGTCCACGTGGTCTCTGGTCGAGTACTTTCACAAAAATTGAAAACAGAATTTAAATATTGATAATCTTCACGTTCTCGGTTTCTGAAGAAAATACGTTACCATATATGCGCAAAACTGCTGTTGTTTGTGAAATTCTCTAATCGGTGATTCGGGTGAATATATTCTTACTGATATATTGTAATTTTAGACTTTAAAAATTAAGTGGTTGAAATAATGCATAAATAAAAGGCTTATTGAACTGACATGTGAGTGAATGAGTAAGTGAGTATGGTTTTTACGCCGCTTTTAGCAATTGTCCAGCAATATCATGGCGGGGGACACCAGAAATGGGCTTAACACTTTGTACCCATGTGGGGAATCGAACCCGGGTCTTTGGCGTGACGGGCGAACGCTTTAACCACTAGGCTACCCCACCACCTGACATGTAGTCCCGAAAGAAATTGATGTATCAGCTCAAATAAAGATTCTTTTAAGGATTATTCGAGTGTTAAGGAACCCTCACGTTTCATATAAAGCTATAGAGGGCGTGAAAAGGGGCACTGAAAACAAAAGAGGGGAGGAGAAAGAGAGAGAGAGAGAGAGAGAGAGAGGGAGAGAGAGAGAGAGTGAGTGAGTGAATATTGCTTAACGCCGCATCAGCAATTTTGCAGCTATTCGCGGCGAAGAGAGAGAGGGAGAGAGAGAGAGAGAATGGGAGTGAGAACTGAATTGTTTCATAATAAATAGATAGGCTCTCGGGTCTGTAAGATAGACCACACCACATATATGCAAATAGCTCATGTTATACGACATGGGTACAATATGTGAAGCCCATTTCTGGTGTCCCACGCTGGAATATTGCCAAAAGCGGCGTAAAACCACACTCACGAACCACTCATGTTGTACAATAGAAAGACATTCTTTAAACTAAATATATCATAAAAGAAGTTAAAAAACACCAGATTCGTTCATAATACTATAGTTAATCTGGTATTCAGTTAACAGATTAATTTTGGAAATATGAAAACATCGGGTGTTCTTAATTTATTGTGAGTAGTATATATAAAACCTGCAGCCAGAAATTTAGGATCAGTCTTCTCAAGGTTATGGTTTCAAAACGTACCTGAATCCAATGCGAACCCGGTATCGGTGCGTTTCACACGTAATATCCAAGCACATCCCGATGATATATCGATGTATATTTCACACGCGTTATCTCAGCCTATAATCCATGGTGATACATTGATGTGTATTTCACTCTATACTCTGTGATACTGACACCCGTGTCCAACTGGCCAGTCAGTCAGTCACCAGGCTTAACCACACGAACTCGGAGCGTAAAGGATCACAGATACACTCGATCCGGGCGGGTCATAAAATCAACACGGTCCCAAGCCTGCTTAGAAAGCAAAGGCTATGCTCAATAAAATTCAATTGCGTACGCTCGCTCCGGGCTGGTTATACATCTCGCACCCCCCTAAACGTGGATAGGAATCTACTTAAATGTTGAAGTAAATTTGCCGTTATTTTTGTTTGGTATGAAATGATTTGAAACGTGTGCCCCAAATCTGGATCGGTTAATCAAGTTATGTCACCCGTCAATCAATTAATGCTTCTGGTCCCATCGCGTGGGCGAAAGTTCGCTGACCCACCACTTCTCGTTAAACATAACTGGGCCCGTCGATGATGATCCTTATTGGCCATTAGTGATGCAAGGCGTGGTAATAGCCTGTCACGTGACACAACATTAGGCGTCACTGAGATGCACGGGCGTCACGTACACATAAACATACCTACACATGTGTATGTCGGGCTGAGGGAGTGGCCCATGAAGTCACGTGTGATATCTTTAATGTATCATGGAGTCAATATCTCACAAATGATGTATTCCCTCGTTGTTCTGCTTCTATGAGCTAATATGAGTGAGTATGATTTTACGCCGCCTTTAGTAATAATCCAACAATGTCACGGGAGTGGACACCAGAAATGGGCTTCACACATTGTACCAATGTGGGTAGTCGAAGTCGAACCCGTCCGTTCCGCGTGACGATCGAACGCTTTAACCGCTGGACTACCCATCAGCCCCCGCATGCCATTAGCATCAGTAATACATAGGCGGATTCGACCACTCAACATACGGGGTAAAATAGGTCTTCAGCAACCCATGCTTGCTGTAAAAAACGACTTTGCTTGTCGTAAGAGGTGACTAACGGGATCGGGTGATCCGGCTCGCTGACTTGGTTGATGCATGTCATCGTATCCCAATTGCGTGGACCGATGCTCATGGTATTAATCACTGGATTGTCTGGTCCAGACTCGATTTTTTACTGACCGCCGTCATATAGCTGGAATATTGCTGAGTGAGGCGTTAAACAACAAACAAACATAGGCGTAAGGGGGGGGGGGGGGGGGGGGGGGGGGGGTGTTACAGCAGGTCGGCCCTTTAGAAAACCAAATATAGTCACTGAGAGATGATTTTATTTTTATATTTTGGATCCCTCCCTTTTAAAATGCTGGATTCGCCCTTGAGCTGCCTTGGACGTTTATTGGGACATGGCGGCAACGCCAAAACATGAATTAGTTTTTATCCCGGGTACAATTTAGCAAACCTATTATTCGTGACCCAAGCCGTGACATTGCTAGGATGCTGCTTGGTGTGGCGTTAACCATCATCCATACACGTCACCTGATTGCCGTTCCATTGTGACCAGAGACCTCTTGCACAAAACAACCTTAGCGTTATGTTTGTTTGTTTGTTTGTTTGTTGTTTAACGCCACAATCAGCGATATTCCAGCTATATGACGGCGGTCAGTAAATAATCGAGTCTGGACCAGACAATCCAGTGAATGACATCATGAGCATCGATCCACGCTATTGAGATACGATGACTTCCATCAACCAAGCCAGCGAGCCTGACCACCCGATCCCGTTCGTCGCCTCTCACGACAAGCATGGGTTGCTTTTATCCCAACCCGGTTTTTCACGGGTCTAGCGTTATGACGATCGTAAATCAACGTTAAAGCGGTGGCGTGCTTTGCTCGTGCTATCAACCACTTTTTTCAATGGCTCAGGATCGAATATTTGTAGGCTGCTGAGGTAAAGGAAGAATATCACAGACAGTACCGTAAAACACCATTCACTAACTCAAACGTTTTATGAGTTACACAGTGACGGGGTTATTTTGTATTAAACGCTAATAGTTCTAGTCGCAACCGATTGTTCGTATCAGGAAACAACGTGATTGTATGCAGTAAACTACGGTTATAACGAACTCAAAGGGACCGCTAACTTTAGTTTGTTATAACCGTAGTTCGTTATAAGCATATATACAGTATAACTATAGCAAATAGTCGGGACAAAAAAATCAGTTCGTTATATCCGTCAGTTCGTTATAAGCGTGTTCGTTATAAACGTACTTGACTGTATTTGAGTTTGTGAGTAATTTGGGTTCAACAGTATTTCAGTTATTCAACAAGTAAATGTGTGAGGAAAGGCAAGTCCTTAAACCCTGCCTCGCTTTCCTGATATCATGTACATATATAAATACTAAGTACACCTCTAACACAATGCGCGGAACTTCAAAGCCGGTTCAAGAAAGAATCGCGAAATGAAAACAACATTGTAACGACCTGCTATTGTGTACACGAGTATGTGAAGCAAATTCCTGGATTTATTTCCTCAACATTTACAGGTCCTTTAAACCACTATAACGGGCGCTTGTAAGTCTTTACAGCTACACGTGTGTACGGCTATTGTGTGCCGTGGATTGCCGGCAACAGAATTTAATAAAACCAGTGGCACCTGCGTGGGAATGTTTCTCCGTGTTAATATTTGGATTTCATTAGTTCAGTGTGCCTGGTTAATTTTCTTTGTTTAGTTCAAGTGTTGGTTTATACCCTACGTCTGGCGAATGTTCGACGTATCAAAGTATTAATATTACCAGTTACCTTCTCTGAAACTATTGTTTGTTCATCACGATACGATGAACACGGCAGTTGAAGATTGAGGAAGGAGAAAGGAGTTATGCCCCCTTCCTAATGTGGTGATTTGGTGATGGAGAACCGACTGAAGTGATATAAAATACTTAGATTGCGAACGTTGAATTTGACAAGCGAGTTTCAGCGTACGAAGGTCGGGCTGACGACGACTGAGTTTTAAAGTTTATTCATAAACGAAGAAATACACGAAACAAGCTACTCTAATATTAAAACATGGCAACAACCTTTGATAAAATAAAGATGTATTGTTTTTAAGTTTTACGCGCCTGACCACTCGATAAAATTCAGTGTTATAATGGCCCACCATTCAATATTTTGAAGGTTGGTTGTGTTGAGACAGAATATTTTAAAAACATACATTCTTTAAGCCGAACAATTTAGTTTTTTCCACAAAAACTAAGGCAGAATTATTTTTAAAGATTTATCATTAAAAATGTTCGTCACAAAATTTATCACAAGAAGAAAGCAAGATTTCCCTACCTGTCTTTGTCTGAATGTGTCATCATCATCGTGGATGAGAAGCAGCGACCCTCCTCCCTCCAACCGTGACACCTCCCGGTCATACAGCGTCCCCTCCCCCCGACTTCTCCTTCCCTTCCGCAGCTTAGCTCGTATAACCTGGAACAGGTACCCCTTGTCCTTGCCCCACAAATACGAGACGCTGGGGTCATGTTTGGGTGTGACGTCATTATAACGAGGGTAGGGAGCCTCATTTGTTGAGCTTTGACTTGAGTTGTCCCAGTCGTCTGCTGATTCTGTGCTGTCCAGACGACCCGTGACGTCACTTCCGGCAAAGTCATACATTCCCGGAACATAGTCCTGAGCATCTGTTGAATGTGACGTTGAGCTAAGGGCAAGATGAGTACTGAAGGTGTGGTAATTGTCAGTAATGTCGGTATGACTAGACGCAATTGACATAGCACTGAGCGCGCTGTCAACGCTATAGTTACAATCGGACGTGCTTTCTAAGGCAAGATTGTCGTCTGCCTGAATTCTACACGCCTCCATTTGCAGCGTCTGCAACCACCGTGAAAGATCCGTCTCCTCCTGTGCACAGAGGTAAATATTCTTACAATGATTCTGCGCGAGCTTAAATACATACAGCTTCTTGTTCCTTTTCTCAGGCTCAGTGACATACGAGACGATGCTCTGCGTCAGAATGACAGCAATCATGGGACTCTCGCCTCCATTCTGAGACTTGAACCCATAGAAACACCCTCTGCTCACAGCGCACCACACTTTAATCCACCTCATCATAAACTTGTATTGCAAATGGCCACTTATCCTGATATCGTTCAGGTCTCTCAGTCTCAAGCCAGGAGTTCTGGAACAGTGCGTAGTCTTTCCTCCACCAAACACCTTGTCTTTCAGGTCCGAAGCTCGTCGTCTGATGCTCGATCCTAAACCATTGGAAGATTTTCCTGAATCCCACGACCTCGATAAAAATGACTGGGAAGAGGAGACTGGTCGTGATAACACAGAAGCGTCCGACACGTCAGAGTTCGGGGAATCGGGGATGTTCAGAGATTTGGTCTCATCCAGAGAATGACTATCGCGAGTGGCTGCCCTCTCAGCACTTCTAGTTCTTTTCCTTTTCAGAAGGCTGTCCAGACTCCCAAAGGACTTCAGTTTTAAGAACGACCTAGACTTCTTAGGCTGCTTTTGAGCTTCCATAATGTGGAGTCCTTTCACTGGCGCTACTTTAGGATCATCGGTTTCCTTACGTAAACGTTTTCTGAAGTCACACTTAGAATCACTCAGATCATTGTCCCTGAGCGACATGGAGATCATGCTCATCCTCCTTGTGCGTGTGGGGGACGGGTAATAGCTTCCATTGGCTGGGGGGAACACAGAGTCGTCAGCACTGTCCCAGCCATCAGAGTCTCGAGCCTGGTTAGCACAATTGTCAAACACAGCTATATCACACGCCCTGGTCAGAACATCTACCCACTCGTCCAGATCAGATTTACACTTCGTCCCGAACAAGTATTTTCTCCTTATACTCACGTTTTCGATATAGAACTGATACTTGTCCACACCTGTGATTGTCTTAGTGTGTTCCTCGCCATCCTTACTCCCTACACTGTCTCTTTTAGCACTGTTAAACACGAGAGATCTAACCCTGCAGCCTGGCAGGAAGATCACATCCTTGGAACTCTCAGCAGTGTCGGACTCAAACACACAAAACAGCATGTCAGCTACCACACACCAAACTTTCTCCCCTCTGAGCTGATCCAGCAGCCAGCCCGATCGGTCAGGGTTCGTGACCTCGCACGAGGACACTTGCCTGGGGGACGGGGGGCTGGTCTTGGGGAGCGGAGGAGGGGGAGGAGCCGGTCTTGTCTTAGGACTCGCTGATTTGGGTGACTTCCAGGAACCGTTATGGACATTAGACTGGTCATACGACTGACTCAAGCCGTTGATCTTAGGGGAGTTCACACTGGATTCTTCTCGTAGTGTGATTACGTCAGCGGACACTGACAGTCCATTCATTCTTTTAGGTCTATCATGCACCATGCTGTTCCTCTTCAATGAGCTGCCGGATCTCATAGTTGGCCCTTGTTTGGAAGGGGAAGGATGCAGGTGGCCGTTCATCGTGAGGCCAGGAGGGGGTGACGGACAGGGGGGCGTGGTTTTACACAGCCTCCAGGATCGAGTGGACAATGGGGAATAGGCATCTACATCATCGTCGTCGTCGTCGTCAGAGTCATTCTGGAAAATAAATAAGAGGAGTTTTAGCTTGGTGATGTGAACATGTCATGCATTCTATTAGGGGGAGGAGGATTGTTCGTTAGTCTGTTGTTTAACACTACATTCACAATATCATAACAATATAACAGCGGGCTGTACAGATATTGCGTCCGACAAACCAGTGGTTGATATTATGAGCAACGTCCCATGCCGTCTAGGGACGATGACAATTGATCAACCGAGCCACTTCGCTTCACCCGATGTCATGTTGTCGCCTCTTACAAGTAATATATTACTGGGAACCTATTACACGGGGCCCATACGAAGCTACATACATTCTTCGACATAACCGGAGTTCGGGGTAAAGGGCAGAAATAAATAAAACTGTGGTTTGTATAGCATAGAAAATCATGACAAGGGTCGACAAAAACACACATTTGGGGCGTGTCGTGATACTAAATTATCATTAAAATAGATACTATATTAACAACACAACAATATATGTGTGAGGACTTTGAAAGGCATTTAGAATCGATACACCTAAGGAGGAGAATATATGAATGTCATCTTCTTTATAATGAAGAACACAACGTTTTGGAGTATATGCTTACTCCTTTATAAGGTGTCATATGTTCATGTGAGAGTACTTTTATGTTACAAGAGTTATAGTGTTTATTTATCTTTCCTTGCACGTACAACACTCGAATTTTATTGGTCAATGACGTTTAGATATTTTACTATGTACTCTGCTACAGCTGGAACAAATATACCCCGCCGTCTGATCTCTGGAATCTCTAGGGTTCAAGCTCCTTACAGCGAAACGGCGTCGCGTCATATATATTAATATTGACATTAGATATACGGGGTGCACAGAGCCTCAACAAACACATTTTCGTTTAGAAAGATGGCGACATACAAACGAATCGTATCTTTATCTCCGTTTGTGGTAAATGATAAATTGTGGTGAGATAAATTCGTTTTATGTCTATATCCTGACGTGATGAAGTGATATTATGGGGGTCTGGGATATTTTTTTTCAAAATAACAATAATAATTTGATTGAGAGAAACGTTAAACAATAATTTGTCCAGGTTTTACAAAAACGAAATTCAAATTCTTCAAACAGAAAAAAAGCGTATTCTTAGCAGTATATTAATTGGTGGGTCTCGCATACGGTTGTATGTTTGTCTGATCAACCCCCAGGTCAATGCAATGTAAGTTCAGTGCTCAATGGCACGCAACTAACAATATAGTTGGCAGTTTTCCATCGTGGTGAGAAATATTCCAGCTATATAACGGCGGGGGGCACCAGCAAGTGGATCCACACATTGTACCGATGTGTAGAATCGAACCCGGGTCTTCGGAGTGACGTTCTAATGTTTTAACCTCAAGGCCCTCATCTTTCACCCTACTTGACCCGTGAAGATCCGGGGTAGAATAGGTTGAGCAACCTATGCTTGCCGTACAAGGCGACTAACGGGATCGGGTGGTCAGGCTCGCTGACTGGTTGATGCATGTCACTGATCCCAATTGCGTGGATCGATGCTCATGATAATAATCACTGGATTGTCTGGTCCAGACTCGATTATTTAAAGACTGCCGTCAAAAAGCTGGAATATTGCTGAGTGCGGCGTTAAACAACACACCAACCAACATGCCGCTAGCTATGCAGCGTTGAGTCCCGAGACAGGTTTCTATGGGAACACCGTAACTGTAGGTACTGTTCCAATGTCCGTTAGATAGAATTGCCTCACTCACTCGTTATCTCGGTGTTGATTCAAAAATATAAATAAGTCTTTCCCGTCTTGGAAGCGAGTGAGCGAGTGTGGGTTTAGGCCGCTTTTAACAATATCACCAGGGGACACCAGAAATGGGCTTCACACATTACACCCATGATGGGGATCGAACCCGGTTCTTTGGGGTGACGAGCGAACGATTTATCACTAGGCTACCCCCATCGCCCCTTTCTTTGGAAGCGACGTGTTAAAAATTCAAAAAGTTTAAGGTGCGGTCGGGTAGCCTAGTGGTTAAAGCGTTCGCTCGTCACGCCGAAGACCCGGGTTCGATTTCCGACATGGGTACAATGTGTGAAGCCCATTTCTGATGTCCCCAGCCGTGATATTGATAGGAATATTGCTAAAATCGGCGTAAAACCATACTCACTCACTCACTCAAAAAGTTTAAGAATGAAAATAAACCTGTTTTCTATCATGAAATGACTCTCGGAATAAATATAAACTCCGCATGAAGATGATCTTCAATGTATGCATTACCTCAAGTTAATACTTAAACCCAATCGCAGGTCAAAAGACTCTTTACCTACAAAACAGGTCTGTGTTGAAAAACCTGCACGGGACAGATTTACATAACGGATTGCTGAGCTGTGCTGGATCACACCATAATCCGGTTACATAATCCGGATTAAGATTGGTGTCTGCGTGACGTTCAGTCAGTAAACCGGATTACACAGAACGGATTAGACCTAAACCCGTTTCTTGCTTCCGTGTATTTTGTAGTGCTAAATATTCATGATAACTGCACAGTGGGTCTTGAAGCTTGTAAGAGATCATCATCATCATCATCATCATCATCACCACTTTTTTATTATTATTATTATTATTATTATTATTATTATTATTATTATTATTCGTGTAATTTGCTTTTTCCTGCAAGACTTCACGCTCAAACTTCGTCAGGTCACTTGATTTTCATTCTCAGAGCCCTGTGTAGAATACATCCCAAGCTGCTAGTGAAGCGCTAGAACGTAAACAGTCATCCTACCGGGTACCCACTTCCTGCTGAGTTAACAGGTGCCACATCACACAACCACACTGGGACTACGGTCGGTCCGGAGTAGACGATGTCACCTGCTTATGTTTTGGCGTATGAAGCGATGGGAATTGCCGCTAAATATCTAAGAGAGAATTATTTGAAGGCCAACGCTCGGCGGCGACATGAATGAATTACTACTTCAACGTGCCCTAATACGTGGACCGACGCTGACGGACGTCCATGTGATGGTGTGGACCACTCACTCCTTCACTCACTGTATCCAGATGAAAGCTAGAAGTTTGATTCAATATATGGGAAACCCGTGAAGATCCGGGGTAGAGGAGGTCTTCAGCAACCCATGCTTGCCGTAAAAGGCGACAATGGTTGTCGTAAGAGGCGACTAACGGGATCGGGTGGTCAGACTCGCTGAGCTGGTTGATGCATGTCATCGATCCCAATTCGTGGATCGATGCTCATGATGTCAAGCACTGGATTGTCTGGTCCAGACTCGATTATTTAACAGACCGCCGTCATATATTGCTGGAATATTATTGAGCGCGGCGTTAAACAACAAACAAACAAACAAACAATATATGGGAACAATGTGTGAAACACATCTCACTCACTCACTCACTCACTCACATGTGAAGACTCTCATCGTTGTGATTCCCCTAATACGGGGAGAATATGTCCTACGCTAAATATAACTTTAAAACTTTAAAAATGGCTTCCTCATTGTCATACGAATGTACTGACGTTTCAGAAAACATTATCGGATGTATATTTGCCATATAAAATATGTCTGTCATTTCGACCCTGAAACCAATATATCCAAAACAGCCCATGCAAGTCTATAATAGTTGGCAAGTCTAGATAAGTCTCATTTCTATTACATTTTATCTAGATAATTTAACATCCGGGTTATTTCATCAAAATATGTTCACTTCAGAGACAAGATGTTTGTCCAATATAAGATACATGCATACATAATGTCAACGCATTTTGATTACTAGTAAAACAATCAAAGAAGCAAACAGTAGCTATTGTTCGCGAATTGTGCCGAGTATTTCTTGACTTTAAACAGATTATGTCATGACTTTCATCCGAGTAAACCTAACAAATATTCTCCCTCAAGTTAGCTTTGAAAGACAATGGTCTAGTTCTTAGATAATCCTGAGAAGATTACGTCACATATAGGCGGAACTGGCACAGCTATGGCGCTAATCTCACACGTGCCGTCGTCGTCCAAGGTGTGTCGTTGCCCAAGACGTGTCCCCACGCTCCAAGGTGGGGGGAAACGTGAAGTCGCCATCAAGCGACGCTGGTTTAATGGTTTGTTTGTTGTTTAACACCGCACTCGGCAATATTCCAGCTGTATAACGGCGGTCTGTAGATATTCGAGTCTAGACTAGACAATCCAGTGATTGATATCAGGAGCATCGATCTACGTAATCGGGATACGATGACATGCATCAACCATGTCAGCGAGCCTGACCACCCGATCCCGTTAGTCGCGGCGCTGGCAAATATATCCTTAAGCTATCCCATTGTGAGTGAGTGAGTGAGTGAATTTTACGCCGCTTTCAGCAATATTTCGCAATATAACGGAGGGGGACACCAGAAGTTGGGGAACTGAAACGCGAACGCTTTACCCACTGGACTACCCAGCCGTCTTCAATGACTGGAGAAGTTGCCCGGAGTGAATCACACCTTGTATTTCATGCGAGGCATGCTTACAACAGTGCTTCATAATCACACCTTGTATTTCATGTGAGGCATGCTTACAATAGTGCTTCATAATCACACCTTGTATTTCATGCGAGGCATGCTTACAACAGTGCTTCATAATCACACCTTGTATTTCATGCGAGGCATGCTTACAACAGTGCTTCATAATCACACCTTGTATTTCATGTGAGGCATGCTTACAACAGTGCTTCATAATCACACCTTGTATTTCATGCGAGGCATGCTTACAACAGTGCTTCATAATCACACCTTGTATTTCATGCGAGGCATGCTTACAACAGTGCTTCATAATCACACCTTGTATTTCATGCGAGGCATGCTTACAACAGCGCTTCATAATCACACCTTGTATTTCATGCGAGGCATGCTTACAACAGTGCTTCATAATCACACCTTGTATTTCATGCGAGGCATGCTTACAACAGTGCTTCATAATCACACCTTGTATTTCATGCGAGGCATGCTTACAACAGTGCTTCATAATCACACCTTGTATTTCATGCGAGGCATGCTTACAACAGCGCTTCATAATCACACCTTGTATTTCATGCGAGGCATGCTTACAACAGTGCTTCATAATCACACCTTGTATTTCATGCGAGGCATGCTTACAACAGTGCTTCATAATCACACCTTGTATTTCATGCGAGGCATGCTTACAACAGCGCTTCATAATCACACCTTGTATTTCATGCGAGGCATGCTTACAACAGCGCTTCATAATCACACCTTGTATTTCATGCGAGACATGCTTACAACAGCGCTTCATATCTGACAGACGGTAAACATCAAATGTTGATTTGTTGAGTCAACATCGCTCCTTTGATTAAAATAACTCGCTCACGGGGACATGCAAGACTGGTAAAATAACACAACATGTGTGATTGCTTTCCTTAACTAACTTTTGAAATGTTTGTTTGAATTACATTAAAGACATGCTCACTTTGTTAGAAGAATAATCAAAGAAGGATATGGGAGACATATTTGAAATTCCCTGAGGGCATATTTACAGTTCATAAATTGCGACTGTGCGTATATGAGAACACCAGCTTGTGCTCTCCGTGAACATATAGTGTGGTAATTTGATCGTTTTTGTAATTATATTGACCCACGCAATCCAGTAGTCTCGTTCCCATACCGTCACTTCTATTAACCATTTCTTTACATTTATCCAACCCCAATCCTCAGTCCTTGGGATTTATATATTATAAAAAATTTCTGCTAAATACCAGAGTCAGTTGTACAATGCTGACATATGTTTATGAATCACTATCAATTAGAGACGATACCATGTGTTCGCGAAAAGGTGAGCGTATCCCGTCACAAACACATGTAAGGGCAAGTCAACTGTTTAGCTGGGCAAACACGGGACAATTCCTCGCGAACGCCTTCGAAACTTTCCTGTTCTATTAACCATTCTCATTCACTCATTCATTCATTCATTCATTCATTCATTCATTCATTCATTCAATCAATCAATCAATCAATCAATCACGTATGTGTTCATTCTCGCTAGGGGGCACGGGTGACCCAGTCGTCTAAGGCGCCGCGATTCGCTGTGCAGAGTTGCGTCCCTTGGGCACGCCAGAAACACATGATTATGGTTCGAATCCCGGTTCGCCCCGATTATGTTTCTAGGTTTGTCAGCACCATACCCGTGCTCGTGGGTTTCACCGAAGTGGTAAACGTCTGAGACCTGCATCACTTTGGGCTTTCCTCCTACATTAAGCTGACACGCCGTGATATAACTGGAATACTGTTAAAAGCAGCGTTAAACCAAACTCACTCACTCACTCATTTTCGCTACATTCGTACTTGAAATCCTCACATCATTAATTCATACATACGCGTCCCTTTATTTGTTTCAATAAAAAATGAAATATTTGTAGACTGAGAGATATTAATTATATGCAGCGTGTGTACGTGGTGCCCTTCCCAGAACCAACAAATGAAGGTAAGGTATCAATTCTATGTAGACATTAAAGTGACAAGGCTGTTCCTCAGCCAAAACTTATGCTTACATACCAAGTGAAAAATATATTCATACTACCTATGTGCTTGACATATCCATCGGCTACATCAAAGTAGGTACTGCTGCATATGCTAGACAGTCATCAATCATAAAAATAAATAAAAATAAATAAAAAGGGATAAATATAATTCCATAATAAGAAATTTTAACTAATAACAGAGTCCATTGAACGATTCCGATTATCTCATACATGGTGAAAACACAGATGGTAGGTGTGTCGATATCAAAACATAATTATATAGCGCGGACGTCATAGAGAACAACTTGACCTCTTTGCCCAACGCGTACCTCAGAGGGAGCAATCTGACGTTGTTTAAAATCCCCCGATGACAATAATTCGGCTCATTCTTGTATTTGCTTCAGTGAGACTGTGTGTTATTTGTCCTGAACAATGTTTGGAGTCTAAACCTGCCTTTCAACAATGCTAATTGCCTGAACAAACACTTGAGATGACAGTAGTTTATTTAGACTGCATTTCACCAATATTTGTTTTCAGCGCATCATTAACAAGCCTCCTCAGGACCTCGGGATTGACAAAACACAGCTGACCTGGGGTCGGTCTGTGGCTTAGAATAAAGAGTGCTAGCGTCGCATCCTTCACACTGAGGAAATATCCTTTGCAATCCATAATGGGTGTCACTTTTGCGTGTTCAAATTAAAGTTGAAAATATTGACGGATCGGTATTATATATAACGTCATTTCACAGCACGACATAAATAATTAGACTTTTAAAACATTCTTCTGACGACCTCCAGAACTTATAGTGAGTGAGTGAGTGAGGTTTTACGCATCGCTTAGCAACATTCCTGCAATATCAGGGCTTGGAGATACCTGAAATGTGTGAATGAGTATGGTTTTACGCCGTCTTTAGCAATAACACGACGGGGAACGCGAGAAATGGGCGTAACACATTGTACCCGTAGTTCGGAATCGAACCTGGGTCTTGTGGCTCCAAATACAAAATACAATAAACGTGTTAATTACGATGTGACGGCGTTAATCGCATGCGGTAACACAATCGTCCACATCGCGAGCTCGCCTCGACTCACGTCAGCGGGTATGTGACCACCACAAGCCGAACTGGTGACGGTCAAAGGTCATTGTTGATACAGGAAAGCATGCTAACTATTCAGCAGTCTGAAGATTATCTAATGTTTAAACTTTGCCTAGTATTCTGGCTTGACTTTAGATTAAAGCCGAGATTACCGTTAGACGCGAGTCTGAGTACACAGCAGGGCAGGTGAGCCGAACTCTGGCGGCTTCTCCAAAGTCGTTATTGATGAAGGGTCACGGATACACGTGCAGGTCAAAGGTTACACGTGAACTACACACAGAGCGTGTAGGTTAAGCTCAATTCATTGTCGGTATCCCACGAATACCGAAATAGCGAATATCTGGAATCGCGTAAGGATATAGTACGTTATATAATATTTTTAACATTTTGAGGAAATTTATCTCGGTCTCAAAATGAGGGGCGTTGAGGAGTCTCGTGGTTAAAGTAAATAATGTAGAATAGCGGTAATGATATACAACGTCATATTGTTTTCATTTTGGATAATTCACATCTCTAAACAATGAGGGAATTATCGGGTTGCCTAGTGGTTAAAGCGTTCGCTCGTCCGCTGAAGACCTGGGTTCGAATCTCCACATGGTAACAATGTCTTTCTGATATGGCTGAAATAGTGCTAAAAGCGGCTAAAACCCCAACTCACTCTAAATAATGAGTTATAAATATACAGTTTAAACGTCGGAAACATGTTGAACAGTTGGTCGTAAGTGAGTGAGTATGGTTTTATGCCGCTTTTAGCAATATTCCAGCAATATCACGGCGGGGGACACCAGAAATGGGCTTCACACATTGTATCCATGTCGGGAATCGAACCCGGGTCTTCGGCGTGACGAGCGAACGCTTTAACCACTAGGCTACCCGACCGCCCCAGTTGGTCGTAAGAATAAACATCGTTGTTTTTCGGATTTTCATTGGGGTTTTCATTTCAAACACTAATGACGTCAATATGTGTTGACATAACACCACACACCGACATGTAATGCATAGGTATCATTCGAACCATAGTTTTATGACAAGCCCACGTATGTCATGTACTTAACGATTGTCAATAGCATAAACATTGTTAATTTCAACGTTGGCATCTGTCAAAAATATATGGTCTCTACCGCTCTAGTGTGTACAAAACTTGACTTCTATTTCTGCGAAATATAAATCTGTCATATGAATCACAAATATGTAAACAACGAAAGGGTTTGATATTCATGTTTAGGGCCATAACTAATAAACCACTGGCCCTGATCGAGTAGCTGCAGTTCACACTGATTGCATTTGACGTGTGTGTCTGTATACATTAATAGTAAACATATGACACTTAACTTTGAAGAATAACGTGAACACAAACTAAAATAACGACAGTTCTCGTGCATATAAGGTGAGTGAGTGGGTATGGTTTTACGCCGCTTTTAGCAATATTCCACCAATATCACGGCGGGGGGCGCCAGAAATGGGCTTCACACATTGTACCCATGTCGGGAATCGAACCGGGGTTTTCGGCGTGACGAGCGAACGCTTTAACCCCTAGGCAACCGCCCCGTGCATCTAAGGACACGCATCCATTCTAGATGTTATATCTGAGTGTTACATTTGTTTCGCGAGCTCATATATAACCATTTCTGTTGTCCTACCGGTGTAATAACAGACACACGGCCGTATACCCCATAAAATATAAAATGTTTAAGTTTATATTATTTTCTAAATAGTTATGTTTCAAACGGATAACAAACTTTTGCTATTCTTAACATCGACATAATTTGGGAGTTTGGAGAAAACAAGCTTTTACATTATGAGTGAGAATAGGAACAAAAATGGTAATACAGCCAATTACTTATGTAAACGACGAACATCAAACAATTGCCCGTCTTCCCACAAGAATTTGACGTCAACTGAAGAACTTTCCTTGCAAATATTATATGAAGCGTGGAATATTAATGCCATGTTTTGACATACCTGTGTGAGGAGTGTAAGAATCCATATTGTCAATTTCAAAATATTGACCACATTTCCAAGTAAAGATCCATATTTGGCTGCGATACCAAACTATTTCCCACATCTGATTAATTCGAACTCGGTCACATTCTGAATAGCGATGAAGAAGAAAATTCAGTCAACCAAGGAGTTACCTCCCTTGCGAGTGTTAAGCTGCTTAAACGTTCCGATCACATGCATAACGTTCATGTGTTATTCAAGCTACGGTCTGACTTTTCGTGTACCAACAATGAGATTACCGTAAATCCAATAATTAGTGTCGGTAACCTAAAAGGAGTTATTTATACAGAATCGTTAGTTTCTTACCAAGACCTATAATTATGTTGTAAATTTTGCTTATCGACGTAAATCATAACTCTAGGATTTACATTTAGTGTTTGATGCGCATACGAACATTCCAGAAAGGCAATATGCTAGACTAACGCTTTGTCTCTTAAAATATATAAAACAGAAATAATTAGTCGGTTTTCATGACGATTCAGTTCTGGAAGTCATGTGTGCTAAAGAATGTTCGGTGACAATATTCGTTAACCCAGACATGTGTTAACCATGACGATTTCATTGGGAATTGTATCGGTCGGATTAACGAGGTTTCATTGAACATTACAAATAACGGTAAAAATCCTCATCTCACACAAGGCTGATATTGAACACGATCGAAGTAATGTATTAAAGGTAAAAGACCAATATAAAACTGGCATTGAAATAAACATGCATTAACATCTATGAGGTAAGTAATATTTAAGAAATTAACTTCCGATATGCATATGCTATGGCCCACTCTCCTATCAGTTCTGACTCTAACCTGGCGGTGAGTCAACTTTATGGTTAAAACGTTCGCTCGTCACGCCGAAGACCGGGTTTGATTCCTACAAGGGTAAAATCTATGAAACGCATCCCTATCGCCGTGATACTGCCGGATTACTGCAAAAGGCGGTGTAAAACAATTTCACTTACTCTCACATCAATAGCAAAGACACATTATTTTAGGTATGTACGGTAAAGGTGATTTAATCCAAAGTTTTAGCTCAAGGGGGACTAATGGTTAATTCGCTGTGCCTTGAAGCGTTACAAATGCAGACAATTGTCTATGAGGTAACTCCCGCCAGGTATCAAGGCGTTTACAACAGTGTATCAATGGTTTTAACAAAGCCAGGATGGGATTACTAGAGCTGGGCACAGTGATATGGTTGAACTATTGTTAAAAGTAGGTTTTGCCTCACAAAGCCGCGGGTGTCAGTGAAGTGTTGATGCGACTCAATTGACTTAATTTAGTTAAGACATAAATGTAGGTCAAACACGGTCAGGTTGCGAGGGAATTATTGACAACCCGCGACTTTAACCTGATGTACACATATAGGCACTGATCACGACTATAACGGGACATTCAGTCTGCATGAGGGAAACCGTTATGTTGTAATGAGGGGGTGTTGGTGAGTGTTATTATGGCGTGTCAGTGGCAGCCTTAAGTGATGCAGGTCTTAGACATTTACCACTTTGGTGAAACCCACGAGCACGGGTATGGTACTGACAAACCTAGAAACATATTATGCATGACACCAAGTCAACGTTGATGCGGTCCCAATACGCAGATATCATCATGATGAACGGGTACCTGATGCCGTATTGATACGTACTGGGTCACAAAATGAACGTCATACCTCAAATATCCAACTTAGCTTATGTAAGAAATAAAAACGTTTAGCTAAAAATTGTAAATATTCAGAATGTTTAGAAATATAATATAATCTTTGTACTATACACCAATACACTTATATTGCAAGACAAAAGAGTTGTTTTTTTATTCAAGGGCTTCTGAAATTCTTAATATATTGTATTAAAAAGCATAGTTATTTGCCGTTGAGTATATCTGTTATTTGGACCACAAGGGATCCGGGAATCTGTTAATGTGGCAATGCTTTCTAACTGTCTTTTACCCGTCGTGCTGTAGTTTAAATATTGCTAAAACGGCCTAAACCCCACTGGCTCACTCCGTAGTAATAGTTGTCTGATGAACGGCGTTCATATCATTTCTGACCGTTCACTGTGACGAAGTCAATTGATACAATGTTTGTCAGCACCATATCCGTGCTCGTGGGTGTCCGAGAACAGCATTATTTTTTTTTATTTATTATTTTTTTTTTTTTTGGGGGGGGGGGTCCCACGCTAAGCTGCACCACGTGATATAACTGAAATACTGTTCACAGCGGCGTTAAACCAAATATAAATTCATTCAAATGAATACAACAAGTTGTATAATCGTATCCTACATTAACGGTATCGAATGGTTTACTGATGGAAATAAAGCCTTTCAAAAGAAGAATACACAGCGTTGATATGTACCTACATTTCGTATGTAGCCAAAAATGAAAACGTGTTTAATTAAGGACAATGCTATACAGCCTGGTACCAATGTCCAATCGTAATTACGTAATTAGGGCCATTGTGTACTTACCGTAATGGTGAAATTTCCGCCTTTTTCTCATTATACAAAATGATTTAGCAGACAAACATAGGAATCAACATGGTTTGAATCAAACCTGCTGCACCAACGGTTCACAGAATTGTGGTGTTAGTCACCGATTTAGGACTCTTTTAGTTTAAAAAAAATACAACACTTTAGGTTCCTGTGATATAACGTTGTGAAAAAAGTGGTTAGAGAGGGGATACCGGTACCATAGCATCACAATACAAGAAGATATATCCTTACCCAATGATAAAACTACAAGCGGAACAGCTAATATATTTTAACCAATGATCCACCAAAATGTAGAACAAGTAATATTCTCAGCCAATGATAAACCTACAAGCTGTACAAGTAATATATTTTTAAATCCATGTTTCTTATTGAATATTTAAATGAGGACTGTGATAAGCATTCAGAGGGTGGAGTGAGTGAGTTGGATTTAACGCCGCTTTTAACGGTATTCAAGTGTCAGCTTAATGTGAGAGGAAAGCCCCAAGTGATGCAGGTCTCGGACGTTTACCACTTCGGTGAAACCCACGAGCACGGGTGTGGCGCTGACAAACCTAGAAACATAATCGGGGTGAACCGGGATTCGAACCCACAATCATAGGTTTCTGGCGTGTCCAAGGGACGCAACTCTGCACAGCGAATCGCGGTGCCTTAGACGACTGGGCCACCCGTGCCCCCTTCAGAGGGTGGAACTTTGTGGATAACGTCTGTGTTGTTTGTAACCACGGTTCACTACTACAGGCCAGGCGAAGGCATTATCCTAGTAAAGTCTAACAAATAAGAAAACAGTTGATATCCCTACAAAGTTCACGTCTTATTAAAATGGTCAGGAAAGTGCGCGTCAACAGTTCAAAAGAAACACTACTAACCTAAAAGATGTCCGTACTCCAGCCATTCCCCGGTTCCAGGAGCTAACGCTCATAGTAATCTACCCGGGGTATCAAGTGTGTTCGGGTAGTACCACCATGGATTACAGTTTGGTGTACGTTAAATGATCTCTTATTATCTACCTCCACCTCCAAACACAGACTGTATGTCCCTTAAGCTGGCAAACTCGTGTCAGAGACGCTTCACGGCTCACAACTAAAACGTCATTAACACCCGTGTGTATGTGCCTATGACTGGCACTTCTCCACATTATTGTAAATGTTAACGCATTGAACTGCGGGTCACGTTGTTATATTCTGTGACTGGAGACTGCCATTCTGCTGTCTCGGATTCCAGATGAATATGGGTATTCTTATTGCTTTCAATTGCATCTGGGTGTTGGGAGGACGGGGAGGGGGGAGATTTTGTAGGGGAGGAATGGTGGGCGTGGGGGAGGGGCGGGGGAGGATGTGCGTGGGGAAGGAGGGGTGTGTGGAGGGTGCGGGGAGGAGGAGGGGTGTGAGGAAGGAAGGTTGTAGGGGTGGAAGGGTGTATAGGGGGAGGAAGGTGGGGGGGGATTCGGTGTCAGGGTGTATGTAGGGGCGGTGGAGTCAGCCCTTGGATTCAAGTTGAACAAAGTAATACTTCTTTCTTTCAAGGGCTCATGGGTTTGTGTTTGGGGGATGAGGGACGCGGTTCGGTGCCTGGGTGTAAGCTGGTGGGTAAGAATTGGGGAAGGGGGGTGAGTGTGAGTGTGTGTGTGTGTGTGTGTGTGGGGGGGGGGGGGTTACAGGAGGGTTGCATGTACATGCCGGCTTACCAAGTGTACGCTACAAGCAGATTCTCCTTGTCGCCACATCCTATCATCTACAGGACAACTGGGCTTCATCTCCTCGAAGTTAAATCTTTTTTCCATCAACACGTACATAGATCCAGCCTTAACGCGCTTAACTGAGGCCCTTTGTCGGGAGATCGCCTCCACGAGAGCGAGACACACGAATACATACAGGTAATGCCAGGTAAATAATATCTAGCCAAGGTCCGCATCTCTTTGAAACAATAAACCCATTGATGACACATATTTCTTGCCAGATGTGATATTAGGCTATGGATAAACATTCAGATAAAATGAATAAAGCTAACCTTTCACAGGACGGAGTTTGACTTTTAAGTTTTAAAAGTTATCTTAAAAGTTAAAAGGTTTTATCGTTTGCTGGGTTTACTTCAAAGAAGCTATGTTGGGGTGAGTAACGATGCGGGGGGTGGTATGTAGGCGGAGGGAGTGGGGGGGGGGGGGGGTCTTCATCGTGAGCGTTAGGTTCACAGGGACATACATATTAGTGAAGAAATGATATGGTTAGGGGTTGAAACTGAGATATGTATTTTTATAGAGGAACTGCGGACGGGGAGTCATTTGCATCAGCCAACAGATTGACGAGTTGACGGCCATTGTGTCAGGGGTATAGTCTTACGCTAATACAGCCAGCTCATCCTTGGGATTTCTCGGCGGTCGCCCTTCCAGATTCCGGCTGTTCTTAAACATGCTGGAAGGTCAGAAAGCCATTGTGTTTTGTTGCTTGATGTTTAACGCAGCTCTGAGCAATATTCCAGCTACATAATGGAAGTCAGTAAATAAATGGACCCCCAAACCAGTGACTGACATCATGAGCATCGATATACGTAAATGGGATACGATGATATGCATCAACCAAGTCACGAAGCCTGAGCACGATCCCTTTAGTCGCCTCTTACAAGCAGGGGTTTATGACGGGTGGGGCAGGATTTGCTCATCTTTTCGCGAACACCTGGTGAGGTGAGGTGAGGTGAGGTGAGGTGAGGTGAAATGGGACTTAACGCCGCTTTCAAGATTGTTGCGCTTATACAGCGACGTACATGCACTTGTACTAGTCCGGACTAACGCCGATTTCAAAGTGCTAGCCCACTGAGATACCATGCCGCAGTTTCACATGAATACCCCACTCAGGCACAATATACTGAATCTGATTTGACCCCCTTCCTTTAGCCCTTTAATGCCGAGTGCCATTTCAAGTACCATTTCTGTAAGTCTTTTGGTATGACGCGACCGGGGATCGAACCCCCGACCTCTCCGGACGGACGCTCTACCACTAGACCACGGAGGCGGTCTCGCGAACAGCTGGTATCATCCCCACTTGATAGTGCTTCATAAGAAACATGCTTATGATACAGTGAAAATCCTACAATGGACAATGGACATTTCTTATGATTTTGACACTCTTATCCTTACACACTAAATGGAAACCACAAAGGGTACTTATATTCGTATGGTACACCGCGTGAATTAAAAACACTGACAGCTTAGCCCGTGAGTTTGCTCGTCTCACTGAAATGTCAGGGTTGGAAACTGAATGTCCCCGCTATGACCGCCAATGGACTTACACCCCACATCTATTCCACCATTAAATCGGACTCTACAGAACAGCAATTGCAGAGAGAGACTAGACTCGATAAATCTGTAAAAATATTACCAAGCTCGATTCGTCAAGGATTGGAACGCTACCACACTATATTGATGCAAGTCGCTTCAGGCGTTGTTCAAACATCGTATGTTTTCAAGTACGCGACTTCCAAACTCGAACAATTTTTTATGGCGACGTTTGTGAGAAAACAAACTTACAAAGCGGTCCCTTCGAGTTGCACAACGTTCTCAACGTGCCACAGAGGCCTCAGGTTGTGGGGCCATGTTTGGCTTCAAACCAGCCGTGTGTTGGGGAGGTGTTGAAAATGATTGTCATCCCAATCACGCTATTGATAGCCCAGTCTGTTGTCAAATACATTCAATTTGTACTCCTACCTTCAGTGTATTCTCAAGCATATTTTCACTCAGTAAAATCATTGATTTATTCTGTAGCTAGGCGTGACAGATCGAATCGGAGACCCGAGACAAACAGATTGAAGATTTGATCGATTATCCATTGAAGTGCGTTTAATTTTCGAACATAATTATGTATCTTAGTGACCGAAACACATTTAATAACTTAGCTTGCGCTTTCATAAATTGTCTTTATTAACTCTTCTTACTAGGAAGGGAACTACCCTGGGTGCTTGATCTAATCCGTAACGGGGAACACAGAAATGAAATACCAAATACAAAAAAATATCATTTATCCCTGATATAAAATTACGGCTGTACGACGAATAATGGTAGACTATTAAATGTTTTACTCATATAACTTTTTAATGTTCCCTGGAGACCAAAATCACATAAGCCGAGTTCATAAAAAACACATTTACCATTTCTGTATTGCTTTAAGTTAAAGAATGTCCCTTATATGCATCCTAATGAGGATGAGGATGCCAAAATAGGTGGCTGATTGTGTGTCACCATCTCCCCACGGCGCAGGTTGGAGTCTGTCAACCACTGGTATGTCGTGAACAAACTCTGTGCGGCATAAAACAACATGTATTCGAAATTCAAATCCCAATTCATAAAAAGGATTTTATCGAACCGGGAGAATATGCATCTCAATACTCAGAAATGTTTCTATCAAAGTTGGGACTCCAAATACAAACGAAATAACTCCTCTGCCAATATACATTTGTTGTGTGCTGGGCGCAAGATGCCGATTCATCTCAAAAGCACAAATCACAATATATTCAATGGGGAACCTCTTGGTGGATCTCCTCGTGTTTAGCAATGCATTAGCGGTGTTCATGTTTCGTGCTTTGTCGACAAATTTAGGACTTTGTCTCAAAATAGCCAGGCCTAAGACCACGGCCCACATCGATGTTGTTCAGAAGATTACCCCGTTAGGTGTGGGGTGTAGGGGGGAGAAAAGTCGCTTAGGGGTGTGAAAAAAAAAGAATAGGAATTCCAGAGACTTTTGCTTTTTCAGGTTCAGTGAAACGTTTTACAACGTGTTTGTAATATTTTTAGTTCTAAAGTATTCCGCCATATTCCTTGCACCAAATGAATTCCTGCATTTGCTGGCCGCCTGTTTAGTCAATGACCACACTCCCCTTATTCATGTTTATACAGTGTCGCAACGGTAAAACAAATTCGTATTATTTTCTGTCACTCCTTTTGCTTTAAAAAAAATAAGAATGCGACAAATATTCTTAAGCGTTTCGACATGGAAGGACGTTGATATACTGTGGTAAACACTCGTGTAAGAAATGGCTAAAGAAATACACAGAATATTTAAGAAATAAACGACGAGTGGGAGTTGTTTATCGTACAATAGTGAGTGAGTGAGTGAGTTGGGTTTAGCGCCGCTTTTAACAGTATTCCAGTTATATCGCGGCGTGTCAGCTTAATGTGGGAGGAAAGCCCGAAGTGATGCAGGTCTCAGACGTTTACCACTTCAATGAAACCCACGAGCATGGGTATGGTGCTGACAAACCTAGAAACATAATCGGGGCGAACCGGGATTCGAAAACACAATCATAGGTTTCTGGCGTGCCCAAGGGACGCAACTCTGCACAGCGAATCGCGGCGCTTTACACGACTGGGCCACCCGTGCCCCTTATCGTACAATAAAACACTGCATGAGGGGCGCTTTCAGTGTTTTATTGCACGATAAACAACGACCTCGAGTCGTTTATTTCTTATATGAGATTTCAGCATTATATACAACTTCGTTGAGGATGATGATAAAATGTGCAAGTTTTAAAAATATTTACCCCTATTCTAATAATGATGACTCCCTCAATAGAATCCGACCTCGGCAATGTCGGAGAAGTCCATTTTATGCATAGGTGGATATTGCCCGTATACTCTCATAATCCTCACGTCGATTACCCGTACCTTTTCTCCCAGTACAGATTGTTATATTTCTCCCGCTTTTGGATCCGATCGTTCGGCCATCGCGTTTATTTGCGCTGCCCAGCTACATCTATGGGGAACAACTGACAAGACACTCCCATCTCAAAAATAACGTCGTCCATTATACGACGTCATCAAGTTGTTGCGAGCGCATGTTCGACTCTCCAGAAATGACGTCATGATAGAACAATGTTTTATCGTGAAATAAACCACATTTCGTTCTTCATTGTTCTTTGCGCCCGTGGTTTATTCTCCCTGCAGTGTTTTATCGTACGATAAACAACGACCACGAGTCTTTTATTTCTTAAATATATAAGGAAATGAAAGGATATATACAGATTTTTATATACTCGTGTCAGTAGTAAGTGAGTATTATTTTATGCCGCTTTTAACGATACACCAGCCACATCACGGCGGGGGCCCCCACAGTGTACCCATATCGGGAATCGAACCCGGGACTCTATCAATCAGCCTATCTTGTATCACTGAAATTCGTTTCAATAATGATATCGTTTTATGTCTCGTTCTAATCAAAATCAAGTCGTAGGGTTTGGGGGGCACGGGTGGCCCAGTCGTCTAAGGCGCCGCGATTCGCTGTGCAGAGTTGCGTCCCTTGGGCACGTCAGAAACCTGTGATTGTGGGTTCGAACCCGGTTCGCCCAGATTATGTTTCTAGCTTTGTCAGCACCATACCCGTGCTCGTGGGTTTCAACGAAGTGGTAAACGTCCGA